TAATTTGCTAAGATAAGAATTGTTGATTTGAAATAAATTATTTAAATTAACAATGATAAACAATTGCTCAAATTCTGATTAACAAACAGCTTATTTAATCAGAAGCATTTTTGATCATGTTTTTGGTCATCTTCAGCTTACAGAATAAACAAATTCTATTTATTCTGTAAGTTGACAATAAGTTTTTGGTCATCTTCAGCTTACATAATAAACAAATTCTATTTATTCTGTAAGTTGACAATAACCAAAGACATGATCAAAAATGCTTCTGATTAAATAATCTGTTTGTTAACCAGAATTTTAGCAATTGTTTATCATTATTATTATTGTGCCAGTTTTTGATGACTTTCAGGTTATATAAATTATTTGTTTCATTATTATTGTTATAAATTAAAGAGTTCATTGTATTGCTTTGTTTAAATTTGTTAAAGGAAAAGATTACGTAGCATATCAAAAATATTAAGTTGTACATTCTATAAACCAGTGCTATCCAAATTGTGGTCTACAGACCAGTGCTACAGTTCATGAACAGTTTCATATAGGCTGCAATGAGATTTCACTTAAATGAATTCTCATAATTTTATATATTGTGTTAATATAACTATTAAAAAAAATGTTTTTAAAAATTGTTTATCACACATTATTTTATTACTTTCATTTCTCTTTATTTAACTAAACACTTATTGTCAAGTAGACTATCAATGAATATTGGCCCAAAGAATTACATGAAAATGGCCCACAAATCATTTTTTCAAAACAATTAGAACCAAATTTTGTTATTGAATTTTTCTAATTCAGTGTAAGAAGTTAAAAAAGTGCTCAAAGTGTTCATTTATAATAAGTTGTACATCTTTACTCCAGCAAGTTTATTTTACTAATGCTAACATTTTTAACTGTAATGATCTTCAGGCAAATAGAACTGCATTGAATATTCTAACAATTTTGGAACAAGAGCACAAAAATTTTTAAAAAGCAAAATGAAGTTCAAATTGTGGAATGTCCATGCTGATTCTGTATTTGAATTCATTCTGATGTTTGTGTTTAATATTGTATCATTAAATTTAAAAAATGAAGAGTTACATATTAAATGGTTGAGCTCCAGGATTTGTTTGTGATAATGTTCAGTCATATCAGTAGGCTATGCTCAAAAAAGGAAATACCTGAGTTATAAAAAACAGTGTTTTATTTTAATAGATGGATTTAATGATTTAAAATATATTGTGATATATTCTTTCTTTTTTTTTTTTTGAGTTAATTGAAGACACAGACTGTCCAAAAAAATTTTTTGGTAGACACCATTTATTCACTTCACGTACTCCAGAATAAACTTTTTGACAACCTGACCTTATTTTTTTAGACTACTTGGCCGTCAAGTATACAAACATTCCTTTAAAAAACATGGAAAAAATAACTAATTAAAATTATAAATTTCAACTTAGAGTATTATACAGTGGAACCCCGGTTAACAAACGTCCTGGTTAACGAACTTTTATTTTGCAAAAATTTTGTCTCGGATAACGAACAAAATTCGGATAACGAACGTAACGGTATTTTGTGTCAAATTTTAGTTGGTGTTAGGCATGCACGAGTTAAGCATTGCTTTTCGGAGTGTTTGTGCTATACTTCTTTTTTCAGTTTTGATTTATATATTTAATCAATATGCCATCCAAGAAAAAAAAAGGCATAGTGGCAATAGAAAACGACAATGCGCTATCGCATTTGAGAAAAATTTTGATTTAAAGAGTAAGACAATTAGCTTTAGATCAGTTTCTTGTTCCTTACGGAAAGAGTTTGTTTGTTTGTTAAGTTATGGCAACGCAATAATTTAACAAACAGATCCCCCTAGGCAGATCGCCCAAGTGTTGACTTGGGGGATCTGCCTAGGGGGAATGCCTTCTGGGAGGTGTTTTTAAGGGAAACTGGCCCCTATTTAGGCATTACAGACGTGGAGAAAACCCGGAAAACTCCACGTGGCCAGCCCGTCTGAGCGAGGTGCGAACCCACGAACGAACTCCCCGTGTTCAAGGTACGAAGACCACTTAGCCACTGGTGGGTTTTTTTTACCGAAAGAGACTTCGACTCGAAGAATCTTCCGATGAAGTGCTACCCGTTATTTTTTTGGAGGGGATTCCCCTTCTAAGCATTAAGGTTCGTATATCTCCACTTTTCTGCCACCAACTACAACAAACGAAGGTATGTACAGTGCTATTTTATTAAACAAAGTTTACATGTTTGTTGCTGTAATGATAGATACTACGTTTTCCTACATTTTCATCAAAGAAAATTACTGTATATTACAAATAAAATCACAAAAATTTTGGAGACTAGAATGGATTAATTGCATTTGCATTAATTTCTATGGGAAAAATTGCTTCGGTTAACGAACAATTCAGTTAACGAACGGAGTCATGGAACGGATTAAGTTTGTTAACCGGGGTTCCACTGTAATTTTAATTAGATATTTTTCCATGTTTTTTAAAGGAATGTTTGTAAACTTGATGGCCAAGTAGCCTAAAAAAAAAAAAAGGTCAGGTCGTCAAAAAGTTTGTTCTGGAACATGTGAAGTGAATAAATGGTGTCTACCAAAAAAAATTTTTTTTGGACAGCCTGTGTCTTCAATTAACTCAAAAATATTATCATCTGACAAAATTCCAATATATTCTTTCTTTGTTAATGAAAAGTCACTTAATTTTTCAATAAGATTTAGTGTCCAATATTCTGAACTATGATGGTGCATATTATCTTCAATAAATGTTTGTAGTGCCTTCTCAATCCTTATTATGAGCTTTATAATGCCTGGATGTGTTTGGTTTCTTGCTTTCTGTGTTTTGTCAAACCCAAATCTCTGTCGTATGATTGGTGAAAGTGTCCCATGTTTTAGATACAGTTTACCTGGTAATTGTGAATTGCTAAGCCTTGCCATCCTGTATATCTTCTCAGGTGTGTTACTCGGTGCTATTGGGTATTCCCAAGTAACATGCTTGAATAAAGGTGCTGTATAATTTATTGATGCTGACCAGCGGTCTTCGTACCCTGAACACTGGGAGTTCAGTCGTGGGTTCATGTCTCACTTGGACGGGCTGGCCACGTGGAGTTTTCCGGATTTTCTCCACGTCTGTAATGCCTAAATAGGGGCCAGTTTCCCTTAAAAAGACCTCCCAGATGGCATCTTTCCAGGCAGATTTCCCAAATGTTGCATTGCTATAACTCAAACAAACCAAACCAATAATTTATTGCATTTGAACTTTATTCTTTCTTATAAGTTTTATTTAATTACACAAAAATACTAGTTTATGAGGTATTGAAATGAGGAAATTGATTTGTTAACTCAGAATTTGAGAAACATTTGCTATAAGCCCTATTTCTACAATATCCTCAATTGCAATACTGAGAGAAAGCAATTACCAACTGGTGTAATATGTCTATGCATCTAGCATCATTTGCTAGTTGCATAGAGATATGAGTATGTTGTTTTGCACTGAACTTTGGCAGTGCAAAAAATAAATGCCAATTTTTAATCTATTAAAACAAAATTTCAGTTATTCATGACTATTGTTGACTATTTTTAGGTTCTATATCATCTCTTAAAACCACTTCAGAAAATTTTTTTAAAAATAATTTTTTATTAATGTTGATGTCTTAGTAAAATACTTAAAACCATTCAAACATGACTTTAAAATATTGAGCTAGTTTTAAAATTAGCTTAGTTTCTTTATATCAAAATGATATATTGATTGATTTATTTGGCATATATTTTCTTGTTACAATCTGTTACAGTTAGGGATGTCCTAATACCACAAAAGTATTGATACTGGTATTATGAATAATTTTAAAGCATCAGTTGGCCTATCAGTATTGGTATTTGTATCAATCTTAAAGTATTGATACCAGCCAGGATTGGCATTATGTATCAAAAGTGGAAATCTTGCCAGCTGTTGCTGTTTAGTCTGTGGCTTTATTTTTAAATATTTTGTGTTATTGAAACTTATAATTTTAACATAACTAATATGCTTCATTCTAGTTAGTTATTAACAAATTATTAAAAATGATTTCTAATATAAACTAAATGTTAACAATATTGTATCAGTTGATTTGAAATTTTAATATATTTTCAAGTTTTTTCAATTAATTGGCAAATTATTTATAAAAAGTAATCTGAATTCTAAGCATACTGTATATAGATTATGAAAATGAAATCTCATGTAATAAATTTATTGATTTTTGGTCATTAATATTTACTATATAAGTGTAATTTAACCAAAAATAGCATAAGATTTGGTTTTGATTTTGGCCAAAACTGACTTTAAAATCCAAATTCAGTTTTGGTTTTGGATTTGGTTGCAAAATCCAATTTTAGTTGGATCTTACCTGTCTGAAAAATGTCACATATCAGATCCAATACTAAAGGAAAAGTATTTATCAGTATCAGACCAAAAGTATTAAGTATAAAAAGTATACAGTATCAAAGGAAAGTATTGAGCAGTATAAAGGAAAGTATCAGCAGTATCAGGACATCCCAGTTACAGTTGATGATGCCAATAGGTGCTCTGGCAATATCATTTGTTTTTATATGTAATCAGCATGATATCAGTTAAAAAAGAATTAGAGTATTTAATTAAATAACAAATAAAATGATATACAGGTGTCCCTTGTATAACACAGTAGATATGTTGTGAAAAAATGCAGTGTTATGTGAATCTGTGCTATGTGAAACAAAGGACTAATGCAGAACATGGGGTTTGGTTCCAGAAGTTAGCAAAAGTATACTATTTTTTTTTCTAAGAGACATGTTTATTAAAGCCATCAATAATTTACTTCCAATTAATAAATAAGTAACAATTTCAATTACAAAGTACTATATCATATGGTAATATTAATTTTAATTAAACAAGGATGTTTTTTTTTTTTTTTATTTTTCTGACACAATATAGTGCTATAAATTAAGACACTTGGCGGATTTTCTCATCTTTATTTAGTTGATACGTGTGGAAAAAATTACACGTTTCGGGCTCTTAAGCCCCTCTTCAGTCAACTAAGACATTTAAAAAGGATATAACATACACATAAAAAAGGGAATACACAAGTTTTGTAAAATTCTTAAAAAATAAAACATACCTATCCATACAAGTCTTATAAATTAAAGTAGCAGTTTACTTTCGATATTTTTTCAGCAACATCAGCTTATTCACAGTATTTTTTCTTGTAGCCTACTATAATATTAGGAGAGTATACAACATATCTATACAAAACTATACATAAGTTTTATAGTATCTATAAAACTATATTCAATTAAGGCATACCTTGAGTACGGCTGTTATTAAGGTTGTACTGTACAAAATTGATTATACCTTTTACTTATAAAACAGTCTTACAAAATCCTTGATCTAAAATATACCTTAGACAACAATTATCAAATTGGTATACAATTGATTATGCTTTTTACTCATAAATCTGTTTTACTAAATCCTTATTTCCTTTGATACGCATTGACAATATAATACGAATTTACATAACTTCTACAATATAAATTTACATATCTGACATCTACTATATTTTTACAATATATGATTGTTGATTTATTTAACATTACAGTATTTAATATTATAGATTATTATATGAACTAATGACATTACAATGTCTTGAGGTTGGTAAACAGGATTAACATTTAATATAAATTTACATATTATTTGATTCCCGTTACAACATTACAGTTTTTTGTTATTGTTGATTTATGTAACAGTTCAATCGTTATTATTAATTAGCACATTGATCACAATAATAATAGTTTGAATCTAGTGAATACAATTAATATAAAATTTTTAACCAGTTTTCGTTTATTGAGATGCTAGGATTTTTATTTATACTATTTTGATTTTTGATTATTTCTATACTTTCCTTGAATTTTCTTTTGTATGTATCTCTTTCTCTGTGTAAGATATCTATATTATTTTTATCTATATTACAATTATTCAAAAGGCAGTGTTCATGAAAAGCAGAATTTAGTCTACGATATTTCAAATCGGCTATATGTTCTTTCAATCTTACTTTAACTTTACGTTTAGTTTCACCTATATAAAATTTTTTATTTTCGCATGTACACGGAATTTTATAGACTACATTTTTACTTTCTTCTTTATTTGTTATATTTGTTTTGTTAACTTGTTTTGCATTTAATCTGGAGAGTAGCTTATCATATGTCGGTACAAGTTTTACATTAATTTTTTTGACTTCCTTATTGACTTCTTCGTATAAACCTTTTATGTATGGAAAACGAATGTATTTTATTTCTGCTTGTTTAGGATCTATTCTTATTGTTTTATCTGTTTTTTTATCTATTTCTGTCTCCCAAATATTAAGAATTCTGTTTGGGTATCCTGAAAGAATAAATTTTTTCTTTAGTGTATTTAAATGTTCGATTTGCTTAGTATTTATACTAGTTCTATTTTTGATTTTAGTGTATTCCATATTAAATATGTTTTGTTTTATATGAATTGGTATGTTAGAATTATAGTTAACTGTGGTATTTATTGAGCACTGCTTTTTGAACGGTTCAAATTCGAGATTTGTATTATTTCTTTTAATTGTAATATCTAAATAATTTATGCTGTTGGTAATTTTATCTTCTTCTTCTATTTTAAATTGAATATTTTTATGGATATTATTTATTATTTTTCTGATTTCATTAGTGTTAATTTCGACTTCATCATATATTATTAGGACATCGTCTACGTATCTTCTGTAGAACTTTATACCATATATGTCACTTATTTCTTTGTCTATATCTATCATTATGATCTCTGCTAGTTTCGGTCCTATTACGGACCCCATACTAATTCCACTATTCTGTGTGTAATATTTACTGTTTATTTCAAAGTAGTTGCTTCTGTAGGTAAATTCGATTAGGTCTATTATTTCAGGTTCAATTTTAAGTTGTGTCAGCTTTGGTTCAATTATTTCCCATATTATGGAAGGGTACATATCAATTATGTCCAGACTTGCAATTCTGTATGTATCTTTTATATCTATCTGTTTAATATCACATAATAGTTCATCAGTATTATAAATAGCAAATTCAGAATTTTGATATATTTTTAGTTTCTGTTTTAGAATTTTCTCAAGATTATATAACGTTGTATTTCTGAAGTCAACTATAGGACGGACGGATTCATCTGCTTTATGGGTTTTAAGTTGTATCTTCATTTTCGGTGTACGATCGTTGTTTTCGCTCAGGATAAATTCTTTTTCATCTTTAGTTAAGCTTTTTAGTTTGTATAGTTTGGTAATTCTATTTTTTAATTCTTTATATATTACTTCTATGGGGTCAATTGGGAGTTCTCTAAATTTATCACTATCAACTAATTCTTGTTTTTTCTTTTTAACCCACTCTTGCTCAACTATAATTATTTGTTTAGATTTATCTGCTTTGATTATTTCTAGTCGATTGTTCTTTAAAAAGTTATGTAATTCTTCAATATTATTTTTATATTTATAATAATTTTTATCTTCTATAGTGGTTTTTCCATTTCTTTTAGTTATATATTTCTCAATCTTATTTGCTAGATTTATTTTGATGATTTTTGATTCTGTATCATTTAACTTATTACATATACGATCTATGTCTGGTATTATGTCCAAAGCATTCCATTGGTTAGGTCCATTAAAATCTAGTCCATTTTGTATTGTCTCCAGGACATTATCAGGAATAACGGTACTTGTTTTATTTAGCACTAACGATCTTTTCCATTCTTCTGTTTCTTCTCTATCTGGATAGTGAAACTTTTTGACTAATTTCTTATATTTATTATCTTCATATTGAGTCAAATTTTAATCTGCTCTACTACTACCGTTTGCTTGTCGCTTTTGTTACATGTTTTTAATATTCGTTTTAGTCGTTTAATTTTTATGTATTTAAATTTTATTGCAGATCTCAATATTTTAAAGTTTAGATATTTCCTATCACGTGTTGGGATATTTTCAGCAATCGACTTTGGCAAAGAAAGTGTCTTTAGAGGTTTTCGTTCTTTTAGGTGTGTCCTTAGATATTGTAAATCAATTAAAGTTTTTTCTATCTCACCTTGTAATTTTTCCTTTTTATATGCGCTGTTCTGGTGTAGTTCTACCTTCATCTTCTTTAAATTTGATGATTTCCGCCGTTTCAATATTCTAACTTCTTATTTTGATGATATGAAACCGTGCTTTACAATTTGTTTATGCTTCTAACACAATAAAGTGGTATAAATTAAGACACTTGGCGGGTTTTCTCATCTTTATTTAGTTGATACGTGTGAAAATTTTACACGTTTCGGGCTCTTAAGCCCCTCTTCAGCCAACTAAAACATTAAAAAAGAATATAACATACATATAAAAAATATAACATACATATAAAAACACAAGTATTGTAGAAATTAATCAAAATAAATATAATCAAAAATCAAAATAGTAGAAATAAAAATCCTAGCATCTCTATAAACGAAAACTGGTTAAAAATTTTATATTGATTATATTTACTAGATCCAAATTATTATTATTGTGATCAATGTGCTAATTAATAATTATTGAACTGTTAAATAAATCAACAATAACAAAAAACTGTAATGTTGTAATGGGAGTCAAATAATATGTAAATCTACATTAAATGTTAATAATGTTTACCAACTTCAAGACATTGTAATATCATTAGTTCAAATAATAATCTATAATATTAAATATTGAAATGTTAAATAAATCAACAATCATACATTGTAAAAAATGGTAGATGTCAGATATGTAAATTTATATTGTAGAAGTTATGTAAATTCGTATTATATTGTCAATGCTTATCAAAGGAAATAAGGATTTAGTAAAACAGATTTATGAGTAAAAAGCATAATCAATTGTATACCAATTTGATAATTGTTGTCTAAGGTATATTTTAGACCAAGGATTTTGTAAGACTGTTTTATAAGTAAAAGGTATAATCAATTTTGTACAGTACAACCTTAATAACAGCCGTACTCAAGGTATGCCTTAATTGAATATAGTTTTATAGATACTATAAAACTTATGTATAGTTTTGTATAGATATGTTGTATACTCTCCTAATATTATAGTAGGCTACAAGAAAAAATACTGTGAATAAGCTGATGTTGCTGAAAAAATATCGAAAGTAAACTGCTACTTTAATTTATAAGACTTGTATGGATAGGTATGTTTTATTTTTTAAGAATTTTACAAAACTTGTGTATTCCCTTTTTTATGTGTATGTTATATCCTTTTTAAATGTCTTAGTTGACTGAAGAGGGGCTTAAGAGCCCGAAACGTGTAATTTTTTCCACACGTATCAACTAAATAAAGATGAGAAAATCCGCCAAGTGTCTTAATTTATAGCACTATATTGTGTCAGAAGCATAAAGGGTGTTTTCTTTTTACAAATTGTCATTGTCTTCTAAGATTTTTTGTTGTTCTTGATCAGCAACATCATCATTTTTTTTTTAACTTGTTTCATAAAATCTGATACAGTAGAGCCTCGATTATCCGACCCCCGATTAACCGATTGTCCTAGTTGGCAAATTTCAAATGTCCGCTAGTGATGTGGCGCTACAATATTTGGCTATGTCTTGGCTACTTTAATATTATTTTTACGTGTTTTAGCTGGCAACACTGGATTGACCATGAAGGGAGCCAGTATTTAAATGAGGCTTAATTTTCTAATTTTTAATGATACAATAGTGATGATTATTATTTTAAAAAATTTTTGTTAGGCTTAACATCGATGAAAATTCAACACGAAGTACGTTAATAGCGATATACTGATTACATGGGATATAATAATATACTACACTAATAATGGATTTTTTCATACTTTTTGGTTATCTGACTTTTCAATTATCCTACCAACCCCAGTCCCCAATTGAGTCGGATAATCGAGGCTCTACTGTATTTTCATTTGCTTTCTTTTTTCTAAAAGACCTTAATAAATTTTGTTATATGGAACAATGCATTTCTGAAGTTCTCTCTTAAACTTTATGCTTCTTTCAGTGGAAGGATCTATATTTAAAAAGTAGAGTTGCAATTGTTTGGCCAAATTTATCCCTTCTCATATGGTTTTTATGGCACGATTTTGAGCTTCAGGATTTTCATCTGTGCTATCATCTTTTGAATTAATTTGGTCGATCTCAGATACCATTTTGAGCAAATTTGCTTCATCATTCTCTTCTTCTTCTAATAACAATTGGATATCTTCAAGATTTATGTCATCAAAACCTTCCCTCTAACAGATTTAGCAAGTTTCAGTAGACAGACTTGCTTCAGTTCTGTTTTCTGCTGGATTGATTACATTGGAGCTTTGAACTGACTCTGACCATAAATTTTTCCAACATGCATTTAATTATGGTTTTATTTCTTTAATAGATAATACAGTTCAGAATTGTGTACAGCTTCCATGTCTGTACGACTTTGGTAGATTTGTTGTCTATTTTATTCACAATCAATTTCAACAAGTGCTTGATGTAATGAGTTTTAAATGTGGCTATGATTTCTTGATCTAATGGCTGAAGTAAAGAAGTTGTATTCAGTGGTAAGAATATTATTTCAACATATGGGTATTTTAATTTTTTGAATGGCTTGGTGCATTATCCAATATTAGTAAAACTTTGAAATCTAGATTTTTTTCATTAAGTACAAACCTAATGCAGTTTTTAAAGTATCAAAAGAACATGTAACATTACTTATGTGTAGTAATGCACCAGGAGTTCACATGGTAAAACCTATGCTAGTTTACAAATCCCTCAATCCTCAAGTAATGAAAAACATACATAAGAGTGCCTTACCTGTATATGGGACCAAAAATAGAAAAGTATGGATAACTGCTGATTTATTTAAAAAATTATTTTCTCTTAAAAAATGTTCTCTTAGACATTTTTTTTTCCACCAAAGACTTGTCTCATCTGCATTAAAAATCTTGTGTTTTGTGAATCTGCCACATTCAATAATTTGTTGCATTTTCTTTGGATATTTTTTAGCAACTTCATTATCAACTGATATAGTTTCTCCCTGTATTTTTATGTTTTGTAATGTGTAACATTTTTAAAACACTCAAACCAACCTTTACTAGCTACAAGGTTCCAGTTAGTAGACTGTTCTCCATTTTTTCTTAAGTAGTTCAAACACTGTAAGAATAGAATAAAGTATGTTATAAAAAAAAACACAAACCTCTGAACCTTATAAATGAAATTTCAGCATAGTTTAATGCAGATAAAATACAAATGCTTTTGTTCTATATAGGAGATGTTCTTAATGTGTTCCAAAAATGGAATGTGAAGAAAGGAACATTTTAAAATTATTTGAAAACCCTGAAATACATAAAAATTGCACAAGTGTATAATGTAATACAAAATAACATAAATTCTGTAATACATAATCTAAATATATAAAATTGCTTGTCCTGACTGACTGACTCACTGATTCATCATCACCCAGAGCTAACTACTGAACCTAAAGAAGTGAAATTTAGTACACAGTTAGGGTACGTCATGAAAACGCACACTAAAAAGGGATTTTTCAAAATTCT